CGTCGGGGCGATCGCGTCCGTGGTGGCCGGGACGGCGTCCTTGACACTGGTCAAGGCCGAGACGCCTGAACACCTGGCTGGGACGTCCACGACGCCCTCGTCGGTCACCGGGCCGGTGACTGCGGCCGGTGGCCTGTTCGCTGGGATCACGGCAGGCAACAAAAGCGCCAGACCGGACGACTGGCTGGCCGCGAACAGCCCCGGTTCACCGTCCGCCACACTGCAGGGCCAGCACGTGGTCTACACGAATCCGCAGCAACAGCTAGCCGAGTCTCAGCAACAACAGCCGCCGCTGGCCCATTCCAGTCCCCTGGCCCACCAGCAGCAGCAGCCCAGTAGCAACAACGGGTACGCCAGCCCTATGAGTACCAGCAGCTACGATCCTTACAGTCCCAACAGTAAGATAGGTAAGTGCAAGCTTTATTGCAGTTCAGTCTCCATGTGCTTTTCAGATAACCACCGGACAGGTGGTCCAAGACATTCCAGCTTTCTCTGCGGCGGATTTTAAATATGGCGGACTGCATTTTGCAGACCTATGACAGTTTACAGGGTAGCGACTGTTCAGCGAGAATCGTGGCAAACTCGAAACTAGACACGCGAATTAATTCGATACCTCTTTAACGCTAGAACTACCAACCCGGTCAAAATGACTGGTCCCGGAATTTTCCTTTTTGCAACCACCGAACACATACACCTGCTTTAGGAATAAAATTGGTAGCAACTCGTATTAAGAAAGAACTATAATCGATATATTCACTCGTATTCGTCTTACTCGCTGAGATTACTATAATCTGTGCAGGTTACAGTTCGGTGCCCATTAAAGATCGGTAGTTATAGTGTTAAACAGAGTTGAATATCTATTCAGGGATTAGGTAATATGAGATTTATGAGGTCCTTGCCCACCGTTGATGTTGGCTGTGGTGTCCTCGTGTTGCGATGGCGTTTTCTTCGTTTTGTTATGGGGCCTGATAGTGAATTCGTCAGTAAGGCCTTCCTAGCATGCCCTGGAATTGGTATATATAGGAATCTTGAAATAGGAATTTGCATATATATAGGTCTGGAATTTGTATATATAGGAATCGGAGGATTCGCCGAGGCAAGAAAAATTCGTTCCTCTTCGTTCCCTCTGGTGGCGAATGCTTGAACGATGATCGCCACAGGTTGATCGTTAGAGCCTCGTTCCTCCTTGATTCCTGCTTGATTTACAGCTTAATCGTTAGAATCGTTGTCTGTTAATCGCTAGTCACGTCCACCGTTGAATCTAGAATAGTTCCTGTAATGTCGACTCGAATACTCTCGCCGGTCACAATAGTCCCGAAAGAGAGGAAGCTTTTAGACGAAGTACGTAGATGTCGGAGTGTGGTCTCGTGCATTACTCCCTGCGCCGCCACTGAAGCCATCTGTCGTCATCCCTCGATACCAGAAGCCGAAACAGGAGCCCTCTCCGGTCGAATCGTGGAAACTGAGGTGCCATTTTGGAACGAGGTCTCGGTGTGACTGGCAACTTCGAAACGGGCCTCCGGCCTTCGAAGCCTCGAGGCATAAATCACGCGTGTAAATCCTGGCCGAAGACGCATGAGCGTGGAACGCGAGGCGGATGAGGAATTCAGTGCACGCGTTCGCGTTTCTTTCTGTCGGTCGCGCGGTCTGCGAGAAAAAGAGAGTGAAACGTCGACCGGCTACCGGATGTGACGTCACCGGCCACGTTCTCCTCTCACGCAGACTTCCCCTGCCTCTCCGGCCGCCTCCTCCTGCCCCCCGGTCCTCCCCCCGCCGCGGCCGTTGTGTCTCTCGTGTCCACTTCCGTCAATCCAAGTGATTGCTTGCACTACTGCCATACTGCACCGTTCTCGCGTGCTGGCGTCGATGCACGCGAAGCTTCCAGGCGGAGGCACGTTTGACGACGATCGCGATACAGCCACGATGGGCGCCGCCGATAAGCTGGCCACACGCTCCCGGGGGTGGACATTGTTGTCGAGGTCTCGGAAATTTTCTCAACCGTGGTCATCGTGTGGATCAACGGGTTAGGAAAGGAATCATTGTACTTCATATAACCAAAAATGCGAGAAAAAGAAAGGTTTCGGTAAATACAATCCCGTCACAACGGTTAAAATATAAATGTTTAGCGAATTTTTTCGCGAGCATATAGCTGAAGAACCACACTTCAGTAATATTGCATTAAATATTAGCTGATTTTTATCGTTATAAATGTACAGTGCTGCAAGGTATGCCAATTTCAGTAAAAAAATGTGATCACTCTGAAACAGGCATTTTTCTCTATTTTGAAAGTTTTAAAAAAATTTTGGATTACTTATAGAGGTTTTTATGGACAGCATAATATACTTCGTACTTTTGAAAGTATATGATTCAAATTTGGTGGATTTTTAACGTAACAGAATTGAATATAGTTCGTGTTTCTGACGATCTGGGCTGCGGGTATTTGTAGGTTAGGATGATCGATTGGATTCGATTTTAGGTTAGGTTTCTCGAGTTACGGAATGTATCGTTGTTTGTCGAGTAATTATATATGGGTATTGATAATTATGATAATTGCTCCATTTGTGAGATAGATGTTATATACTTGTTTGTCACGTTTTATTTGGAATAGATAAAACGTATTGTTTGAACTGCGTACAGCGCTGAAATCGATTGGAAAAACTTGTCACTTGGTAACCCTAACCAATTTCCTATTTTATACAATATACAATTTTTCTTGAGTTAACAGACTGCGATTCGTAGATAAATAAAATTCTAATTGTACACGATTATGAAATTAATTATAAAATTAGATTGATGTATCGAATTTTCTCGGTATAGTAGATCTAGGGAAATGGAGAATTTGTATAGGAATTTATAGGGAGTTTTTCAACTGACAAAATACGGAACTACGCGTCTTATATCTGATATTTAAAAAACATGTTTTATTCTTATACTTTGCGTTTAATAACACGTATATAGCTCATAAATCGATCGTAAACAACGATATTTCCTAACCTCAACTAATTTCCTAATTTCATGAATTTCTTTGTAACTTAACAGACTGTGATCGATTATAATCGTCTTTCGTGAACAAGTAAAATTTTAATGTCGCGTAATTGTAAAGTTAATTACGAGGTTAAGTTGACGTATCGAACTTTGTCGGTACGGTAGATCTAGGGAGATGGAGAGTCTATTTAGGGACATATAGGGGATTGGAAATTTTTCGTTTGAGAAAATTCGAAACTACGCGTTTTATCTCGGATATTTAAAGAGACGTTTAATTTATGAATTTCATCGTCACGTTTCATCGTTGCATTCATTAAAATCGCTTAAGATAGGGAATAAATGCGACCTGCGGATTCTCGAGACTGCCTGCTATCTGTCGAGGGCGGAATTTTTTCAAGACCTTTTCTAACAGCCGGACAAAGGAGGAACAAAGATGAATACGAGACGCAGTTTGTCAGAAGGAGATTCAGCCTTGGTTTCCGCATTCAGGAAATTCGTCCGCCAAATGAGACCTTAATAAGGCCGGCTTAACCTCTTCGCTCCTTTTCGTCGTGAACAAACGAAATTCTTGGTCAGATAAACAGCCCGGGGAACACAGAGAAATATTACTTAGCGAAGATCAACCTTGTCGATATCTGATAAATTGCCAAAGCAAATTCTTCCACGATATCCTTCCTGCAAAATCGAGCGAATCGGCTTCCCTTTAAAAATAACCTCTTTAAAAATAATCTCTTCACTCTCCTGCCCGTCTAATTTTATTATAATATCGAACAAATTAAATTCCACGTCGAATACCACCGCGTGGTAGTCGAATAAACGTAACTTCCGTCGGAGAATTACACGCGTTCGAAAAGCAATTGGAAATTCGTATTCCATAAAATCGAAATGGCGAAGAAATTTAATTAAACGTGACATTCAGCTTCTTGGTTCGCCGAGATGGAAATGTAAAAGGAAATGTAAGAGGAGGTAACGTTGGTTCTCGAATTTTCTGACAGCAGAGCCAGCTGATCCCGTGGTTAATGAGAGTGTGGCGTTGTGTCTCGAAGCGTTTTAAAAATAGGGTTGAATGTTATATTTCTCTGCCCAGCGACATGTGCTAATTGGCTGCTTTTACCTTGTGCAGGGTGCAACTTTTTCACCCCTGTTCCTCCGCTGGGGTTACGTGTGCCGGCCCCGAGCTGTCGTTTTATTAGGCTAAGTTATCGATTGCCACCGTAATAACTTTTCTTCGCCTGCCGCGAGAAACGCTTGAATTTTTTTGCCGCGAGATGCTCGCCTCGCCACGCTGATTCATCCTTTTGCTTTCGTTCTTTGTCAATTAGTCGCACGCCAGCTCGTTTCATTGATAAATTATGCCCCCGATAATCAGCCGTTATCAGTAGAACTCGACTTTCCACTTAGAACTTCCGTTTCTTCCCTTCCTTTTTCCCCCCTCCTGTCCTTCTTCTTTTTAATAAATCCCATTGCATTGCGCCTTTTTGTCGCGATAAGGGGTCTAATTCGATCATTCGCGATCCTCGAGGAAAGATTTATAAGCGCCGGATAAGATACGTTGATGAATTACGAGGGATTTTCGAGGCGCAAGCTAGCCTAGGGACATTTGCTTCTCCCTAGCAGTCGATAGCCGCGTAAAGCGGAGAAGATAGCCGTCGACATGCCCCGTACCAATTTACATCGTGTCCCATTTAGCCGCAGTTATGTGGGCTGCGACATTGATTACGAAATGGAGCCCATTATCGAAAGGGTTCTAAGCGGTTTTTCGCGCGATATGGGTATTTCGTTCGCGGGTGTTGCCGATTGGACCCGCATCACTGCGTCGGCCATTCGTAGATAAACGTAACCCGCAAAAATTTCCAACCATTTCCATAATGTACACCTTTCGGCGAGGGACGTGTTATCTGTGGATCTTTATGGCGATCGTGGCTCATAAAAATGGAACTCCTCGACTTGGCCAGTTCCGAAACTATTCCCCCCACCAAACCGTGAAATTTCCGCGGAATTTAGCCACCCATGATACGTGGAATCCATTTCGATCCTCCGAAAACGGTATAACGCTACTTTATTCGAAAAAACCTTCCTTCTGCACATGTCGTGCTACAAATTCGGATGACAAATTTCTCAACGTCGTCTTTCGCCATTTGCAAAAAGAAAGGGAACGACGCGAGTGAAAAATTCGATGGGGGGGAAAAAGAGACGAGAATCGCCATAGACAGAGAGGCTAAAAAAGACACGGACGATGGTGGAAGATGGAAAAGAAGGAAATTTGTTCCGCGGAAAATGAGGAGCTCCCCAGGCGAAGTCACCTGTGCATAGGCAGTCGCGTTTCCCTTTTTTCCACGGCCCCGGAACGCGTCTGAGAACCCACGGCGGATTTTCCACCGGCTAATAGCGGGTGGTGCTGTGTGAATTGCAGCAGGATGCA